TGTACCCAGTTCGGACTTATCTGATGCCCGGGGGTGAGGGCCCTTTGGGCGCTGATAATGGGTTTACTTGTGACAACTGATGCAAGCGAGAATGGCGCGAGTTCCTCTCATTATCATCAATAAAAAAAAATGCAAGATGTACATGTTAGCAAAACAAGTGGCTAACTGAGATGCGAATGTTTTGTTTTTCGATCGTGTGATGGTTATGTTTAAGTTGATATTTGCCTCCATTATTCGAGATCGGCGGCAATGTGCCTCCTTGCATTGACTCTAGCCAAATGTTTCTCACATATCTGAGCAAGTGATTACACGTAACTAGTTATGGAAGGCAAACTGATTATACATCATTGATACATGTGAGAAATAATATAGGTACTATTAAAAAGCATATTCAGAACTATATATTGATATATATTTTGTATCGACTTTGGTCAAATGCTCACGCTCTTACATGCAATATATTTTTAAAATATTCTTTTACCTTTTTATATGTGCATAGTTATATGGCAAATTTGCCTTCGTAATCCATCACGTTTTATCACGTGGTCGAAGCTCCAAGCAAAATTCCATTGGAGTCAACATCGGGAGACATTGAAGCCAATTTCTAAGATCCAGAGGGCAAGCCGCACAAATTTAACCTGTTTATTGTGTGTATTCCAAACTCTCTTAACAATCTCTTGGTGATTTTGTATGTGCACTAATCAATGCCAACTAAATCCTCAAAACTATTCGATCCAACCAGTCAAATTGGATGACTTACTTTCAGTGCTGTCATCTGATCCAACAATGCCCATGTTTCATGGAGTACACAAGCTCTAGTTTTGTGAGAACTGGCTGTAATTCTGCTTTTAGCGTGCTGGGTTTTTCTTGTTTTTATCGCCCATGTCATCATTCGTGTGTTCATTTATTTTCTCAAGAAAGATACGAAACATGCAATTCAAGGAAACAATAAATTTTCAAGAGAAAAGTCTCCCACCAAGAAACAGGGCTCCTCCGCAGGAAACATACCTTGTGTCCTTCTCATCCTCCATTCAATTATTGTCCATATAAGCTCCAAAAACACATGGTCTCACGCGATTGGAGGCCACATCCACCAACTCCAACTGAGTATTCCGTCCTGTAATGCGTGGAATTTGTGGGTAGAGAGCGACTTATCTTCTTGGATACCCTTGAAATTTTACTTGACAAAATCATTATTTATTTCTATCAATGAAAGTGAAACGTGCATTTTTCTCTTTTCATTGTTTTGAGTCTTCTATGGTAAGAATGTCCGACTCAAAAATTTAAATTAATAGGCGATGGAAGACTATATGTTAATAGAGAGCATGTGAATCTCTGTAAACAAGTTATGGAGTGATACTTTAGCACCCTCTCTTATATGCAAGCCGGATTAGACACGGTAGGTGAAATTTGACGAACAAGGGGGCCTCACGAGGGAAATTAACCGAGGCAAAAACCCGACTCTGACACAATGTTAGAATATCCGATCCAATAGCTTAAACCGATAAATGAAGAGAAATAACACGTAAATAAAGAATATATATAAACGTGTATACAAGTTATCGGAGATATTTCGATACTCAACCTACTTTAGCCCCGCGTGATTTTGCGGTAGTAGTACCCCCACAACTTTTTACGTGGCCAAAGACGTAAAATCTGGTGGTTCACTATGGGATCCCAATGATGAAGGAGCAACTTTTCTATGCTTTTGGTTTCATGTGGAGCCAATTACCAAAAAGTTTTCAAAGGGATCCAACCGATCTTTAGATTGAATGGGCAGAGCGGAGACAGAAATTCACGCGATGACGCACATTTTCGAAACTCACAATGCCTGCAAAATCAATTCGGTTTGTAAATTGTCCTCCCTTTTGCATGGTCGAATCTTATTTACTACTCTCGCTCCGAGAAAGGCTTTCAACCCTGCTAATCAATTCGGTTTGTAAATGTTCTTCCTTTTGCATGGTTGAATCTTATTACTCTCGCCCCAAGAAAGGCATTCGACTCGACTAGCGAAGAAAAAAAGAAGAAAATCGCGGTTCCCGTCCGGATGGTTTCGAGGACGATGTGGATTGGACGGTTCGCGTGTTTCACCATCACCACATTTCACCGCAAAAGAAGGTTTTTTTTTTTTTTTCTGGGTCGAAACCGCAAAAGGGTAATTAGATGCTATGATTATACAGCTCGTGTGCAACTAAGATCGACTCGATGATCTTTAGAAAGATGTCTCATGTGAGATTTTGCTTTGTCGTCGATCCATCTGTCAACAACAAAAATGTAATCATATTTGTTGACTAAGCTCGACATGCACATAACAAAGGGAGGATAAAAGGAGAAAAAAATAAAGAAGTATCTTATTCGCTTTGCCATCTTTTCCACGAAGAAATTGCCAACTTTTTGACCATCAATCACACTCGCATTATCTCTTTTTTTCTTGTTATAGTTGTTGGCGTGTTCCCCTTTATACGTGCCCCTCTTTCTTTTCATTGTCCAATCGAGCTTTGGATTTTTTGAAAAGAAAATTTTAATATATTTTTCACCTTTCTTTATCTTGAAAAATGTGACTTTATCTATTGGAACTGTCTGTTGTCCATAATAGGACTATAGAGCATCTCGTGTCATCCCACGCATAAAGAAAGAAGCGCAAATGAATATGCTGTGGCTTGTACGCTTCGCTGTGCATATTCATTTATGTAATATGTATGCATATTTCCAAGAGTAAAAAAAAAAACAAAATCTCTCTTTTATGTTTTGTTTTTGGCCACTATAAAACCACCGCTCTATTTGTCAAATCTCGGTCGACGATCACAAGTGATCATGCAAAATCTCGAACCTTGGTCACTATCCCGAAGAGTGGTATTTTGTGTCACTGCACCAAATTCATTTAGTCGTTTCTAACACTCTTTCATCCTATATATATATATACTTTGTGATACAGAGTATAAGAATACAAGTTAAGAAAATGAAATGGACGACCAATTCATTGGAGAGTCGACAACGATATCATGGCATGCGCGACATGATATCGAATTGTTGATCGTGTCATTTTGGAGGCTCCGTTTCGTTGACTTATGAGGAAGTTGTACTGGAAAGAGATGTTGTCAGCATGCCAAAACATCACACATCTCACTTGTGATCACCGCATGAAAAAGATGAGATGTTTTTCTTGACACATACGTAGTCTAAGATTCTGAAACAGGCTGGTGAAAATCTGTGACTTTTGGTGTGCCCTTTTTGTTTGTTTAGTTTACATTGTGCATCCAACATCGACAAGTTGAAATTGAAAAAAGGAACGATGTCTTCCAACTCTAGCGAAACATGTCAAGTTCAGTGAAGCTGATACGATGTTGGTGGATTACAGCGGCTTTGACTTTGGGGTTTTAACTTTGTTTTTTCCCCCTTTTGAGCTTTGTTGTGATTCTTATCAGGAAAAATTAGATTACGCATGCATAAAAATGAACTTATTATGCCTTACCAAAAAAAAGAACTTATTATGATGTTTATAAATTAACTGATTGACTGTATAATAAGATTTTCAACTTTTCATCAAATGGTTGTCGATATTAACTTCATTATAGGGATATAAGCATTTTGATTTATATTTCCTGGCCGCCCATGGAGTGCGACAGAGAAAAAACAGATTACGGCTTTGACTATAATTCGTTATAACTATTACTGCGACGATATTTTCATCTGTAAAGGGTCTGTACATATTATTTGAATGTTGGTCAAGATTCACTTTTTATTTTTTGCCATAGACATGATCCACTCGTTTAAATGTCTATTTACCGCTCCTTGTCGTCCCTTTGCTAGGCGTTCTAATTTCTAAGATGGATTTTGTATACCTACCACAACTTAAATGAAAAGTTGGAAGGGTTCTTTCAATCATATGCCAATATAATCGAACTGACCGACTAAATGTTTTTCCTATTCTCTCTTGCTTTCTCTCCCTGCTATTTGCTTTCTACTTGCTTTGATTCGACCAGTTCTTGACCTATCTCCCCTTTTGTTTTCTTCCGGCGCGTTTCTTCTGCCTGTGATCCCAAGAATTCGATTTCGTTTTCAAAGGCAATCTTCACTTGGTCAACCAAAGATGGACCCACCACCTCCTGTAGATCCATTTGCATGCAAAAAGAAAACAGCACAAAAGAACTGTTCTTAGTCAGTGTACTTAATGATGTTTTCACTGTTAGTAATTGGACTTTCCTCGCACAGTAATGACGCGACTTTCCCAGCTTTTCCGGCATCATTTCCTCGTTGTCCTTCCGGTGATCTTTTTTAAAACCCTAGTTTTCACGTTCTCGTTCAAGATTTGCAGCCGATCTCACACGTGCGCACAAGCCCTCCCACACATGTGAAAGCCTCTCTGATTGCCGAGTTAGGGGTACTTGAAACAATAATGTTAATAATAAGTGTCCACATACACACTGCATGTTACATGAGGACATTGAATCACTTTTTCACCATAATAATAATAAGTCGCTTTTGAATTTCGCTTGCAGAAGTTTGCAAAAGCTTTAAAGATTTGATTTTTTTTTTATCTTTGCCCAAAAATGGCTTTTGCCCAGAAAAAAAGAAAAGAAAAGTAAAAGATAAGCAGACAGTCCTAACTAATCATGATGACACACACCGCCCATCTTAAAAATTCCTTAAAGATGGAACCAAACGAAGTCTTTCTCATCACAGAGAGAGAATCTACACCACCTCTCTTTTTTGGATTTGTGAAATGGGATTTTGTCTGTGTCACCTTTGGAGAAAGAAGACCCTTTTGGAGAGATGAGGAATGATTGTGTAGTGCATTTAAAAGAAGAGATTTGATGATGAAATGTGATGGTTGGGTTGGGTCAAACCCCCAAAGTTAGACCCCTCTTCTCTTCTTCTTTTATTGATGATATTTTCGCTTTAGTAGGCAAAACAATGAGTTGGTTTTTGTACTTAGCAACAAGAGCCAATCAACCAAAAAAGTGGGATATAAAGTAGATGCAATTATAATGCGAACAAAAGAAAGAAAAGAGCCCACTTCCATATCGCCAACATCATCTTACAAGAATTTTAATCATTAGAGACCCTCTCAAATATCATTTCCCACCCATTTGCAAAATTCTTGATATATTCCAATATGAGCCAAAAACCAAAAGTGGTTTCAGTTTCAAAAAAGGTTCTTTGCATGGCCTACACTATGGATACAGACAGAGATGGCTGGTCCCCCAAGTCATTCTCCCCTAATTTCATCCACTAAACCCTAAAAAAGTACTAAAATAACAACATGAAGGTAAAAACAAAAAGAAATAATTCCCACATCCTAACTTTTTCCACCACCAACACCAGTGCCTCCCTCTTCCTCTTCCCACCCTCTTTCTCCATGCAAAAACTTTCCTTTCAGGTGTCATTCCAAGCAGTAAAAACGGGAAGATGAGACATGGAAATTGAACTAGGCCTCATGTGGGCTGAGGGAAACCAAGAAGTCACAGAAGCTGAAGTACGACTAGCGTTTGCGAGCTTCGAAACTACTGGAGGCTTATTAGCAAAAGCCACCACCGACCCGGCTCGGTCAGGGCTGGCCTCCCTCGAGCTGCTCAAGCTGGTCACCAAGGAAGACGGGTTCGACAAGTGACGTGTCCCTAGCTTATTAGCCGGATCATCGACTGATGGCTGGCTTGAGTTAACTGAAGACTCCAAACCTATGAGATCATGTAGGGCCATTGAAAATGATGAGTTCCTATAGTTACCACCAGAAGGACAACCTATAGAATTGTGATCAAGTGACTGATTACAGCTAGCTTGGAGCTGCGGCGAGGACTGGTACAGAACCATCTTCCAATCCGAACCATGTGCGACGTTGCCATTGCTCTCAAGCTGAAGAGTTCCGTCGCCGCTAATTTTTTGCTGGGTCAGTGCATTATACTCGGCAACTTCCTCACTGGGCGCGATCTCCTTAGTTCGGCGGGCAAGCTCCCCTGCGAGGAGGGTGCTGCTCGCCATAATCCGTTCCACGTCGTATCTACTGATGTCGAAGTTGGTCACAGCATTTACACCGCGGAACTTTATGGCAGCTATGTCATATGCCTCGGCTGCTTCCTCTTGAGTGCCTGAAGTTTAACAGTAACAAAATCATTATACTAAGATAACTAACACAACTTTCTCTTAACCAAGATTAGCTAGAGTCTGAGAGTGGAATATGTTAGACAGAAATCCTTTAATCCTGCATTAAAGCAAGGTTTGCTCTTTTTGTCCTGATCTCTTTATTACCAACGACAGCCTTAAAAAGTAAATTTTGCATTCAAAGTGAAATACAGTGAGATAAAGTAAAGCCAAATCAGCCTTATACAAAGTATCACTAGTTCTTTTTTGTCCCTAGGGCAGAGCAGAAAAAAAGCATAACTGGTCACTAGTGGCAGCAAAATTGAAAACATGAAAGCAAGGAAAGCTGCAATGAAAATGAGTCCAAAGCCAGTCACAACAATAGCATAGAGATGAGACTCGGCCAAATTACCAATGAAATCGTGAAGGATTCAAAATAAAGAGTGGTCTCAAATTTGAGTGACTCACTAAATGTCCCAAGATAAAGGTCCTTGTTTCCGGCAACACGACCGATCCGAGCTTGCCATCTTCCATGCTGGTGGTGTCTGCAGGAATGGAACTTATTAGCGAGAGCATCGAGAATGAGTGCACATTCTCTACTAAATTCCATACAAAGCATGAGATTATTGGTGCAAAAGACTTGACTAAGAGAGAGAAACCTTGTAACCCCTCTGTACATCGAAGCCCCTCTAGAAAATCCACTACTCTTCCTGCAAAATAAGAAATTGTTTTCAGCTTTAGAGGCGCTTCATGCACAAAGATAATATTACATGGACCTAACATATTATGTTATCTTAGGCTGTTCACCTTCTCAAATGTGCAACATACTCCTGCCTGCTCATGTTCTTCATTTCCTCCAGCTCTTTCTGATAATTTTCTAGCTTTAATGAAAACCAGACATAGTGTCAGATTATTTCTATCTCACTAGAAATCTAAAAAATGTTAAGAGAAAATAGGAATAATGCAGGTTTTTATATTTACCGGAAAGTTTATATGTGTCGAAGGTCCCCAGTACTTGAGAGCAGCGAGATCATATGCCCTTGCAGCTTTCTCTTCCTTATCATAACCCCCTAAAGCACAGTAATTGAAATACTAATGAGAACACAAAAAACAAGAATATTCACTCAAAATGATCAAGTACAAGGAATAAAGGTTTGTCCAAAAAAAAAAAGGAATAAAGGAAAAATGGTGCTCACCCAAGTAGACTAATGGTTCGGCGTTTGATTGAGTAGCATCCACAAGATTGAGTATGAACATGAGAAACAAGGAAGAATTAATAACGCCCAGTCAGATCATGAAGACAGAGGGGCCAACAATTGCAGAGTCAGCAAAGGACTACATTTTCAGGCACACACTACAGCGAAGTAATTGTCTTTTCATTTACCAAAAAAATTGTCTTTTCTTTTCATTTTTTTTTTTTGTTTGTCCTCTTACTAACCTTGCCTTCCTTTCCTGGTCTGCCCCTCCTTCTTGCAGCTGTTATCCCAAAGATGAGCTTCATATCTACCAGTCCATCTATGCCTAAATTTTGAAGTTCAACAAATGACAAGAGTCACTCAAAAGCTTCAGATTTGACAAAAATCAAGGCCTGACCCACAAGAATGGAAGTGATCTTGCAAAAGGGTATTTGCAAGATCAGCCCAAAATTTATGAAAGTTTTTCATTATTACCTGGTGACCCCTCTATACTGAGAAGTCCTCTGTCCAAAAGTGTCGATGGACTTCCTGTGAACAGGCTGCTTGTTCTGGCAATTACTTGACCTCTTCTTGGTCATCTCCATACCCACACACTCATTCTCAGTAGGTGAAATCTGCCTTGTTGGGACTGTGACACAGCTCGAAGTTGAGCTTGGACTCATGGACAAACTCAGGTTCTGCAAGTCACCACACTCCATTGGACCCACAGCGTCAGAGCTATTACCCCCGTTATTACATACCATGCCACTGCTCATCTGGTCCAACCCAACATGACAAGAAGAAGAAGAGAAATTCCTTGTGACCCAACTTTTCAGGCAAGAGTACCCGCTGTTCTCATCACAGCTTGCAATGTGAGAGTCCTTTGGTTCCTCCTCAGCCAGTGGCGAATGGTACAAAGCAGGGCATGTTAGCTCATTGGGATAATAAATCTGATGCTGTTGCTGGTGTCTGAACGGTTCGTGAAGGAGATCTAGTGACTGTTTCTCTGGGTCGGCACTCTGTTGGTAGCTATACAAGCTGTCCAAACTGAGAGGCACTGTTGTTGCCGTCACTGTTGCACTTGCACCACCCAAAAAGTCCTCCAGCTTTGGCGTTGAACCTTGCCCTAATCCTGCTTCACACACGGACGCGTACACACAGACACACAACAAAAGCAAGTGAAACAAAGAACTCAAAATCAACAGCAAAAATAGAATTTTCTTTATCTTCGAGAGCAAAGAACCAACCTTGGCCTTACCAAAAAAAAAAAAAAAAGAACCAACCTTGGGGTCTGGATCTTGTGAGGGCTTCCATGATGCAGAGAGACCCATCGGACTTGAGAGGCATGACAGACAGAGGAGAGTGAAGGAACCCACCATTGTTGCCGTCTCCAACGCCGCCACCATAACACAGGCTCGAGCTGCTAAAGTGTGGCGGCGGCGGCGGAGGAGGCGAGAGAAAGTAGCTTCCCGGTTCACCTTGCTGCGGCTGGTGGTGATAGTGGTGGTGTTGGTGGTGGTTCTGGTGATGCTCCGCCTGTGGGGCGACCTCCATTTTCAGGTGGTGGGGCGAGAGAGAGAACCCCAGCCAGTTATTACCGTTCGTGCCACTGCCGCTCTCGCTCACAGACTTCATCTCCATCTTCTTCTCCTTCTTCTCGTTTAGTTAAAAAGTAGGTGCTTCGTTAAGCATGTCTCGTTGCGGTGCGGGGCAAGCACGAGCTCGAGACTTCAATCATTGGGAAGAAGAGAAGTAATCATTTCGAAATCTTCTCCCATCTGAGAGAACACACACACACACTTGGGTTTTTTTTTTTTGTTGTTGTTGGTGTTGTCTAGTTCCGAGAATATAACCCAACAACTTCACGCTCACAGGCTCTCAAGCTCTCATATATAGGAGAGAGAGAGAGAGAGAGAGATGGTCCCTTCACTTCAATCTAAACAAAGAGAATAAAAGGAACTCAGCTCCAAGCGAATGCTGGGTAGCATCCCTGCATAAAAAGCCATGGGGATCTGTGTAAGGCAATGCGTGAGAAACACCACCAGTCCCTCTCTCTCTCTCTCTCTCTCTCTCTCTCTCTCTCTCTATGCTTTTCTTTTCTCTTTTTTCCTATTTTCTTGGGCAGTATGGATTGGCCCTTTTGCTTAATGAGACAACAACAACAACAACGCTTGACACTCAACACAAAACACACAAATCCCGGATGGGCATTATATAAGCCCAGAAAACGTGCTTCTACGGCGACCTCAGACATTCTTTGGCTTGTTGTCGCCTGTTCCCATTATAGTTCCACTATATTTATTTAATGGCCACTCCAAACATCCTCCCCCTTCCCTTCATCCACAGAATCCCGCGCACTATTATTTATTAATGACATTCATTTTGGGCACAGTGTGCCTACCTCTGTCAATAAGTAAAGTTTGAATTTACTATAAAAAATAAACGTTTACATTATAATTATTTGAAGATTATGACAACTATTGTGGGCTTATTTAGAGGGACTTTTACTTTTTCGCCGTTTGAGATTTGTCTATCGATTAATGTTGAATGTCGCAAACCTTTACAAAATCTAGATATACATGAAAAGTTTTTTGATTATCATTCGAAATGAATTGAGAATCTTTGTTTTGACAAGAAAACCGATTCCTGATTCTTACACAATCTAAGCCAAAATCCCTTACTCGGACCCCTTATCATACTTCTCCGTTGCGGATGAATTTTCCGTTCTAACTTTTTTTGGGCGATCTTTTTGTTTATTCTACATAAATTTTCAAGATGAATCACATGCATAGCACGAAATTTAAAAAAAAAAAAGGAGGAACCAAGCTATTATAGCATGTCTTCTTTTATTTGTCTTATTGCAACAAGTTTAAGAGGGCAAAACTTCGGAAATGCATGTCCACGGCGAAGGTTCGTTCTTGTCCTGATTTAGAATAACTCCAACTCTATTTCCATTAACATTATGATGAGCAAAAACAATGGGCTTGAGCGATTGCTATGGCTCAAAATGAACAGTCTGCTGCGAATACAGAGTTCTTATGATAATGCTCAAGAGGTCATCCACGTAGGTATTAGGGGTGAGCATGATGGACCACCCGAACCGAGACCGGACCGCACCGGACCGGCCGGTTTGGCCCGGTTCTCGAGAGTATCGGTCCGGTTCCCGGTTCCTAAAAGTGGAACCGGTTTTCGGGCGGTCTGGTTCCTGGTTCTAGGGTGGGAACCGGACCGGACCGGACCGATAAATATATATATTTACTTTTTAAATTTTTTGAAGAAAAAAAGAAAGCCTAATCTATTCCCTTTTGCCTTTACCAATTTTTTTAAGGCTTGGTTCCATTGGAAAATGGAATTGGTTCCATTGGAACGTGATTGGTTCCATTTAAAATAGAAAGCCTAATTTAAAAGTACGTGATCGGTTCTATTGGAACCGGACCGGACCATCGGTGCGGTCTGGTCCATGGTCTTAGGATTAGCCGGTCCGGTCCTCGGTCCTAGAAAATGGGAACCGGTCCTCCCGGTCCGGTTCCCGGTTCTTGAGTGGGACCGGACCGGATCGGGAACCGCTCACCCTTAGTAGGTATAGCCCCTTCCCACCTGTTTTTACTTTTAAGAAACAAGAAGTTACGTTCTTTTCTTTTTTTTTTCAGATTTAATTGTTGATGTTGTCTGCTAAAAAGTTTTACATGATTTAACAATGTAGTTTCAGGAACAAAATCAGAGAGATTATTATCACTAGTTCTGTTATAATAAAGGGAAAAAGGCATAAAAAATCACAAATCATGCCTATTATGACATATTTACTATAAACATGTTCTTATGAAAAAAAAATTACATATTTATCTTCCATCAAGGTTCCGTCAAATGATTTTCCAATCAAAATAACGTCGTTTTTATTTCACTTACGTTACTTGAATGTCATGTCAAAATCATTTGCTTTTTTACGTCAACGGTGATCATTGATATATCACGCAGGTACAAGTTTGAAATATTTTGTGTCACGAAAAAAAGCTTAAAGTAAATGTACTACAATTGATATAATTTAAAGTTTTGGGGGGGCTTTTTCTCATAATAAAATACTCGAGTAGCACGACACAAACTCAAAAGGAAAATGGATCAGAAAAGAATAAACTCGAATAAAAACAAAAAACACAAAATATCCACTAATGCATCAACCGCCATACCCAGAAAAAATCCAGCACAGTATAGTTAAACTGATGGTACGTAACAAAAAATGTTTATTCTTGTAAGAATAACAAAATAACGAGTTTTCCCAAGGCGACAGCAAAGAAGATAACCAAAACAGGGTAGCTTTTATTCAGAGGCACAGGGCCTCAGATAGATACGACGGGAAGGACACTGTGCCCCCTCCAGTCACTTCCTATTTACAGTACTCTCTCTCTCTCTCTCTCTCTCTCTCTCTCTCTCAACCCTATTTACAGCTCGAGTATCTTATTCTAGATCTCCTTCTTTCGTGTCTGACTTTATGTGATCACACTGCCTTAGCCTCTCAAATGTGGCTCACAGCTTTTGATTCGACATTAACGGCGCACACTTTTCATGTACTAGAGGCTAATGAAGAACATGTTCATGATGTGTCCTTGCTAAAAGATGTGTGATTTTGCAAATGAATATCTGCATGATTTCATTTCAGGGAGCACGAAAGTTTGGTTAAGATATAATGGCCCGGGATGCATGTGGATAGAGAAAGGAATGAAGTGAGGTGAAGAATTAAATGAGTAGGGTATTGATATTTAATCTTTTCATAACGAACAAGTGATGTAGGAGCAAAAATTTATTGAATATCTTAAGCACATTTCTTGCGATCGAAAAAGAAGTGGCGGGTGAGAGAAGCAGCATACATAGTTCTTTATCGCTCATTTTCATGAGTAAAGCTTTAGGAAAAAGTTCTTGAGAATTAGCAAGACTAGCTCAATGGCACGGCAGAAAGAGATGAGGTGCATGCAGAGATCAAGAACGTGACATATTTTGAGTTTTGACCAAGAAAGGATGTTGCCATTTCAATTATGCGATGAGATAAGCTACAATTATATGCCATCCCAGAGAAGAGAAAGCACATAACTCAGTATTTGTAATTCAAAACAGCTCTGTGGAGAGTGTGGGCCTGCTGCGACTGTGAGGGTTTTTCTGGCCACAGCTCATTTGTCCACCGCTGATCTTGAGAGAGAGAGAGAGAGAGAGAGAGTGGTGATGATGTGACCCAAGCTGAGCCTTGTGCTTTTATTCGTATCTGACATTGTTTGGAAATGTGCTGGGGCCGTATACGTTCGTAGACCTTCGTAGGCCTGCTTCAATGGCTCCTCCAGTACTTGCTGGTCAGTACCATCCTTTTGAATTGAGCCTCCTACGTTCTCTCTCGAGTTGACCAGATCAACCATTTGGCAGTGAGTAGTGAGAGCCATATAGATTCTTATGCTCTGTTTGGGAAGAAGACGAGGAAAAATGGTGGAATGAAAACGAGTGTGAAAAAATATGAAGTGATTTTAAATGTTTATGAGAAGAAAATAAAGGGTATTTTGACATTGGTGGCTTTTTTTTCCCCGAGAATTCTAAAAGAAAAACAGAAGAGATGAGGTAGGGAGAGAAATAGGGCCAACGACTCTTGCGAGGGCAAGCAAGGGCCACTTACCCTTCTCGTCCGTTGGTGCGGGTTAAGCGACCATTGTGTGGCGGTCGACTTCGGCAGAATTGTTCAATACTACATGTTGATTTTGGTAAGCGCAACAACCGCCACTTGAACATGGCAATTGGGAGGACCGATCGACCCTCATCTAGATTTGGGCACGGACTGCAACCCTTGTTGAAGGTCTCGGCGTCGCAACTTTATACCATCTCTCTTGTCCGACCAAAAAAATTGGATGGCCGAGCGCAACTTAAGAGTACACAAGGAACATTCATAGTATACATCTAGGAACACGTGATGGGGGCCTCGTATTATTCAATCATGACATTTGCATTGATGGGGAGTACTTCACTTGACAACGACCTCCAACGTCAATGGTATCTCAACCCATCTTAAACCCTTTTTCTACTCTTTCATCTTATCCAGCCTTGTTGCTGAAGGAAAAGAAGTCGTAAAACCATCGAACGAGTACCCTCGATCTCTTAACTTTGTAACAATCTCGTAAGTCCAAAAACTCTTCCAAAACGACTGAGTTTGAAATAATTCGTATCGAGTTTGCCAAGACCCTCGAAATTGAATATCAAATTTGCGTTCCAATTTATATCAACACGGCAACGTGTTGAGTTGCACGCACCAATCATTTTGTACTTAAGGGAGTTTGACTGACAAAAAGAAATTATGTGAGTTTGTGTTGGTATGGAGCGATTTGCAAACAAATCTCTAACTTAAGCCAAAGATTAGGATGAAATAACATTGTTATTATTAGTGTTTTTTTTTCTGGAACGAAATGGATTTATTTGTGAAAACCCGATACCTTCACTTTGGAAGATCACCAAGAGTTGAGCCAAATCCGAACCCATCAACATATTAAATTAAACCCACATTTATTTAAAAGCTAATGACAATGAGTTATGGCGAAATCCGATATATTAACTACTCTATACTGCTAATTCTACGTTGAGATATTTATTCTAATACAATCCACATGTGTATCTCAACAATCTTTCCCTCATGTGTAAACTTTACTTCCTTTAATTCAGGTATTGTCCCGCCCTAACATGTCTCAATTTGAATCTTTAATGCTTACCTTCTTCCTTGGCTTGCCAAACCAAACCATGAAGGCACAATGCCCACCGTTACTCTAGCTCTCTTTTGCAAGGTCGAATTATAAAAAGTCGTTTGGAAAATGCTTCAGTCGTGAGATTCATACTCACCAAATATTAATAGACACTGGGAGTAATCCACCACCCAGTTAACCATTAGCTCTTATACTATTTGTTGAAAGTGCATAACAGAAATCTAATACCTTCATAAGAAGAGATCGCCGAGAGGGAGGCAAAGTCCGAGCTCGTCAAAATTTTCAGTTGGAATCGTGTCCATTGAAAAACTTATGAGTCAATTAAAATATATTAACTACTCTATACCATT